TGGGAGTGTGTGTGAGTCACCCAGCCTGTGGGGCCTGGCAGGGTGGGGTGGGGCTGGCATCTGAGCAGGGCTGTTGCTCACCCCACCTCTGTCTGAGTGGAGGAGCCGGCAACTCACTCTGCCTTGGTTCAGGGAGCCCTGAGAGGGGAGCTGGCCTTTCAACTGGGCTCAGGAGAACCCTGGTTTTATCGGGGTTTGTGTCCCGGACATAATGAGTGGCCAGGACCTGGGGCTTCTAGGCCTGCTCTTCCCCAGTGTGGCCTGTGGGCAGGGGTGGCGTTGGCCTGCAGTTGGCCATGGCCTCCTGGATCTGAGGGTGTTGGCCTTGCCCCTTCAGCACGACCCTCCTGTGCCCGTGTCGGCCTCCATAGACCTCATCCTGGTGGAGGACGTGAGGGAGAGTCCAGAAGAGGTGACCAACCACAACCACCCTGGCATCCAGGTACGGCCCTTGCCCTGCCACGGCCCTGCCGGGGCGAGACCCGTTGGGTGGCCCTTCACCCTCCAACACGCAGCCCGACCCTCCCTGCCTTCCCTCCTGCAGGCGGAGCTGCACATCAGAGAAGGCTCGGGATGCTCATCTTCAGCTCATCTGCAGACGTCGTCGAGGTGGCCCACCAGGAGGCCAGGGGAGTCGCTGTGGTGAGTTGGCTTTAGTTCCTCATCTGGGCCACTCCGTGGTTAGTGGATTGATTATTTGAAAAGCTTGCACTTAATCACACCAGCTATAATTATCAGGGTCTTTAGATTCTCTGATTAATTAAGCAAATTTGGTCATTGCCATGGTACCTTTGTGGGTTTTAGTCCATATCCACAAACTACTCATGCTATTAATTACCTAATGGTTTCCTTTCAATCTTTTAATCAAGACTAAAATATTACTTCGTATGCAGCACTATAACAATCATAAAGAACATTGTTTTTAGATAATACATCAGCTTTTTCTATTAATTTTTTTCCATGTTTCTTTCTTAACCCTCTCCCTATCCTTGCAAGTATTGACTTAGCTATGCCATGGGATGGAAGATTAGCATTCTGCCTTATTCTATGTTATCCTAAGATTTTATATTTTTCCAAGTTACATTATAGGCTAGGTGATTATTTTTATGCCGTCATTTATACTTTAGCCATTCCCTTTTTGTAGAGCATATAGGTTATTTAATTTTGTTGTTGTTGTTGTTGTTGTTTTTAAATTGCAAAGCATAGAATAAAAAGAGCAAAAACAAATGCCAATATCCCACATGGCTGCATCTCTGCATGACGGATTACTAGGCAATCATGAAAATTGAACTTCGTTTTAAAGGAAGCTTCTTAACACTGAACATGCAGTAAAACCACTCCCATAAATCATAAATACCAACGTTCAGCACTGACCTCCCCCCGTATGATTTCGGTATAAAATTAGAGATGGGGACCAGGCAGAAGGACAATCTGAGGGAAAGCTTCTATGCTGCACAGCAACCTGCACTACGGTGCTTGATGAATCTCATGTATGAAAACACCAGGTGTAACCACAATCCAGATCAAAATATTGAACATTTTCAGCACCCCAGAAGATTCTACCATGCCACTCCTACGCCGCAGCTCCACACATGCAAAAGTAATGATGATCCTGCATTTCCACCCTCAGAGATTAGCTGTGTGTTCCTAATCTGTGTAAGCTGAACACTACACATGTGCCTTCTTGTATCTTTTCTGCGTGTGAGACGCCCAGTGCTGTTACATGCAGCTGCATTTGTTCTATTTCAATTGCTGTGCAGTGTTCCATTCCTTTGATGTTTCTACGATTTTCCATTCCATGACTTTGGCCATTACGAGTATGCGATTCTGTGGGTATGTGTACTTTTTTAAACAAATGGAGTGTATTTATTGGCAGTTATAGGTTCACTGCAAATTGAGCTGCATGAGTCTGGAGTTCCCGGACATATGCCCTCCGCGACACACAGCCGCTGCACCCACCACACTCGCAGAGAGCTACATGTCCCACTCAATGAACCTGCACTGGCCCATCCTGTCGGCTCCGTTAGATTAGGATTGCTTTCCTACGTACCCTGATAAGTCTTTTTGCTCTGAACTCTCTGTGATGCCTGCTTTCTTCTTGATAGTGTTAACTAATGATTTTCTCCAACATCTCTTACTTTTCTTTTCTTTTTCTTTTTTTTTTTTTTTTTTTTTTGTTTTGTTTTGAGACAGAGTCCCTGCTTTGTTGCCCAGGCTAAGGAGTGCCGTGGCCATCAGCTAGCTCCACCAGCAACCTCAAACTTCCTGGCTCAAGTGATCCTCCAGTGCCTCCAGCATCCCGAGTAAGTGCTGGGACTACAGGCATGCCCACCCAATGCCTAATTTTCTACATGTATGTAGTTGTGATCAATTAATGTTCTTGTCTATTTATAGAAGATAGGGGGTCTCATTCTTGCTCAGGCTGGTTTCGAACTCCTGACCTGGAGCAATCCACCTGCCTCGGCCTCCCAGAGTGCTAGGATTACAGGCGTGAGCCACCACACCGGGCCCAATCATTTACTTTTCATCTGATGTGTCTTTGTATTTAAAGTGGATATCTGGTAGACAAACCACAGTTAGGTGTGTTTTCTGATACACTCTGACAATCTTTGTCCTATATTTTAAACATTGACATTTAAAGTAATCATTGGTAAAGATGCATTACTATCTACTATGTTTGTTACTATTTTCTATTCACTGCCCTGGTTGTTTGTTCTTATTTCTGAATTTCCTTCTTTTACTGCCTTTTGAAGTTTTAATTAATCATTTGATATGATTCCAGTTTTTCTGCTTTCTTTAGATACTTCTTTTTTAAACTTCAGTGGTGGCTCTAGAGTTTGCAACTAATCCAAGTCAACTTTCAAATAACACTGTACCCCTTCATGGGTGGTACAAGTACCTTGTAATAAAAATTTTTTTCTGTTTCTTTCTTCCTGTCCCTTGTATCACTGCTGTCATTCATTTCATATAGACATGAACACACACAAACACACACACACACACACAAACGCACACATCTACTTACATTGAATGCATATTGTTACTATTATCTTCAAGAAAGTATGTCTGTTAGATCAATTAAGAATAATAAAAATAAAATAAAAAGTAAAGTTTTCATTTATCGTTTACTTATTCTTTTGCCAATGCACTGCTTTTCTTTATATAGATCCCAGTCTCTGCCCTATATCATGTTCCTTCTCTCTGAAGAATTTCCATTAACATTGCTTGTTGGGCCAGGTGTGGTGGCTCATGCCTGTAATCCTAGCACTCTGGGAGGCCAAGACAGGAGCATAGAAGGCACCAGCCACGAAGAGCAGGCCCTCACCAGACCCTGAATCCTCTGATCGTGGACTTCTCAGCCTCCAGAGCTATGAGCAATAAATTTCTATTGTTTATAAATTACCCAGACTAAAGCATTTTGTTTTAGTAACCTGAACAGACTAAGACAACTTCCAAATAAACTATTTGTACCCAAATACTAGTCTCAGAATCTGCTTTTTGGGGACCCAAACTGATTCAGATTCTGTGGCACACTGTCAGCCCGAGTGAGGGAGGGCGTAACCAGTCTGGCCCTCAGCCCTGAGACGTTCAAATGTCAGTGGAGATGTCCAGGCTGCAGATTTTTCATGACCTTACATAGATGCGTGTTGCCACCTTTCCCTTCATTGCCATTCATGCTTTTGTGTGGCTCGGTCATATTTCAGCAGGAGGGACGCACGATGGATCTATAGTAGAAGTGAAGCTTGGAGGTGAGATCTGAAATGCAAGACATTTTAGCAGGGCGAGGGGGGAGAAAAGGCATAGGAGAGTGGGAGAAAGGGCAGAGACGTGTCTTCACTGGGGGGAAGTCCTGCTCATCTAGGAGTTCCAATAGCTAGCTAGGAATGGACCCGATGCCAAAGTCACGCTGGGCCACAGGATAGGAGTAATAGCATCACAAACACAAAGCAACCAGTCAGGATTTGCTCCAATTACTGTTGCTGCATAGCAACTACCCCAAACTTAGTGGTGTAAAGCAACAGCCCTTTTATTATGCTCATGGATCCTGTGAGATGAAAATTTAGAAACTACATAACGGGAAGCTTGTGATGTAGCTACTACTGTATACTACTGTACTACTGTATCTCTGCTACGTGATGTCTGGAGCCTCATCGGGAAGGCAGGCTTGCAAGCTGAGGGTGACCCAAGTGCAGGGGCTCAGGACCAGCCGAAGGCTGCATCACTCACCTGTCTGGTGGTTGATGCTGCTGTTGGCTGGGCCCTCACCTGGGCTGTCAGCCAGGGAGACTCATGTGGCCTCTCCTCGAGTTGCTTGGGCTTCCTTACAGCATGGTGGCTGGTTTCACAAGTAGGCGTCCCAAGAAAATCAGGCCAAAGCTATAATGACTTTTACCACCTAGTCTCAGAAGTAAACAAGTGTCCTTTTCATTATGCTCATAAGTCTGCCCCAAATCAAGGGAAGGAATAGGGAATGACACTAACAAGTCAAAGTCTCTTTGCAAGATGACAATGTGGGTTGAGACACACTATTGCGGCCGTCTGCAGGAAACAGTCTGCTGCAGGATTCACTGGCACCTACCATGTGCTCAGGCCTGTTTCGAGGGCTGAGAGATTCACAAGACGGAGGCCTCCTGTCTGAGTCCACGTTGGCTGGACGGGGGGCTTCGTAACATCCAGTTAGGGCCCCCGCCTGGCGCAGGGTGCCCCTGCCTTCCTGGGCACAGCCCTGAGAGAGGTTGAGGGACGGACAGTCTGACCTCGGGAAGGCCAGAACGGTCCTTTCCGAATTTCTCTGACCGGTTCTTAGAAAAGGGGGCAGCTGTGTGCGGCCATGTGGAGGTGGCCAGCCAGCACGGGGCAGGAGCGAAGCTGATGCCCAGAGAGAAACAGAGAGAGAGAGAGGCGGAGCACACTGTAGTTTTAGGCGTCTCTGAGGCCCACCAGAGATGAGGCCCACTAGCACCCTGGCCCTCCCGTGGGTACAGGAAATGTCCTACATCCCTCCCAAATATCCTTTCTTTTCTTAAATCTGAGCTATTCACGTTGCATTTCTGTCACTTACAACCAAAAGCGTCTGGCAAGCACAGGCATGAATGAGGCGGAGCGTCCTCCACGCGGGCCAGCCCCAGACAAGAGGGTCGGCCGTCAGATCCGGGGGCAAGAGGAGGCTGCCATCTGTTGGCGAGGTCAGGCGTCAGGAGAAAGGACACCAGGAGCTGGTTGGGAAGGAGAGTTCAAGGGATGAAATGACAGTTTTGGAGTCAGGCCGACTCAGATTCCAATCCTGCAATAAAGGTGCGGGTGGCAGCCCTGAAACCAGACGGGGAGACCACGGTGTGAGTCGGCTGTGGCCGTGGACATTGGCTGCACCCCAGGCGCCCTCTCAGGAGCACAGACTTGTCCTGCAGCGACTCAGGCCACCACGAGCAGTTCCTTCGGGGAAGCGCTTCAGCTCGAGAGAACCGCCTTGCCCGAGTCCACACGCGCTGGGGCAATTGAGATGACTGCTCAACCCAGGGGTACACAGGGTGGACCCGTCGCTGGGGACAGCTCCAGAGCTGAGGGCTTTGCAGGGACCACAGCTCAGCCCGACTTCTCCCTCTGCTCACTGCTCCGTCCCTCCCTCCACAGGTGATGGTCCCCAGAGCCCTCCCTAACAAGCCGCCTGCACACAACTCTCTGTGTCCGAGTCTGTTGTGTTGCTCTCTGCCCCCACCCCCGCATCCCTTCCTGCTGCCCGTCAGCACCCCGGTGTTCTCTGGGACTTGCCTGTCCCACATTGCCCAGTCTTGGCGGGGCTGCACACCAGGGCCCCGTCCACTGTCGGTCCAGGGCCAACCCCATGCCCGAGCCAGTCGCATTTTCTCCGGGCCTTTGCAGCCTGGCAGAGTGACATGAGAACGGATGGAGCCCGCCCATGCCAGGATGCACCGAGACTGGGTGGCCAGGGGGTTCTTCTGTCTGTGCCCACGTCCCGCTTCCTGACCACGCTGTGTGGTGTGTTGCACGCTGTGCAACGATTTCTCTCTTTAAAATAGATCTGGTCTGAGCACAGCCTTGGGCAGGGGGAGGAGGGGGAGAACATTCAAAAAGACGAGGCCCGTGAGGCTGCACCCTGCGGTGTGAGCAGCTGGCAAGGGCGCTCCAGGGAGCGGAGCAGCGTGTGCACAGGCGCTGGGCTGAGAGAGCACCTGGCCAGTAGCAAGAGCAGCAGAGGCTGCGCACGAAGGTTTTCCGTGTGTGAGCCTGACCCTTCCCCTGTCTGGGCTGGTCCTCCCCAGAACTCCAGCAGCACCTGCCGCGGGCTGCCTGCTTCCCTCTCCTGGCCGCTCGTGGAACTGCCACCACCGCTGCCACAGGCTTATTCGTCAGAGGATGCAGGAGCCCTGGGCTGAGGCAGGAATCTAGTGCAAGGGTGTGAGAGGGAGTCCAGTGCCAGGGGCCCCAGGGATAATTTTGTTTGGCCACCACATTTTACAGATGAAGACACTGAGGCCCGGGAAGGGAAACGATTTACTCTGGGTCTTAGGCCACATTCATGGACTTGAGCTTCCTAATCCAGGAACAGATGGTCTCCATGGCCCGTCATTATTTCCAAACCTGGAAGACAGGAGCTGCCCCTGAGACCACACCCTTGTGCTTTAGCTACCGATATCACACAGACCTGTCTGCAATTAGCAGCGCGATTTTATTAATGGCTGTCACTAACGTCGCTGTTTATATCATTCCAAACATTTCGGATTCCAAAGAACCTGAGCCCCTGCAGGAGAATTAAAAGGCTGATAAATAGAGAGCTGCTTCCTTCTGTCTGAGGGCAAACCTCCAGTCACGGGACTTCCGGATTCAGGATGCTCAGGGAGGAGGGAGGAGCTCCTGAGACTGTGTCGTCGCGTGGCCCACATGCTTTGGGTAACCAAGCTGGTGTCCAGGAGCACCAGACCCGCAGGTCCTCTGCTGACTGAGCAGCTGCAGTTCTCTTCCGTCCGTAGGCGTGGACCCGCCTTGTCCCCTGAAAGCCAGCCGGCCACACAGCGAGTCTCTGGCTCTCAGGAAGTGCCTGGCTTGTCTGGTACATAAAATGAAATGGTCACAGTCTATGGGATGCTGAAGGTGAAACGAGATCCTATTTCTGGCCACCCTTTTTCCTTGGAAGTGTCACTGTGTTGGAACTGCACCAGGCCGGGTGAGAACACACCTTCTCTCTGGAGACTACGGATTGTAGCAGCGGCGACCTCAAGCGGCGGGAGTTGGCAGGAGTGAAAAGGGAGGAGAGAAGAGCTCTCTGGGTTTAAATGCGGAGTTGGGGCTTTGGGTGTTTCCTGCCAGGTTGTGAAAGTCTGTAAGAGAAGCTTTGAAGCTGCAAATATACATCACGGCCCCCATAGAGGACCTGCCGTAAGAGGGTGAGTCTTCGGGGTCGAGGTGAGCAGGAAGCCAGAGGGGTCTGTCCGCAGAGCCAGGCGGCGTGGGGAGCAGAGCGGGCGCCCCGAGAGCGGGCCTTGGGCACAGCAGACCCTGTGAAGCGGGAACTGCTGAGAGAGCAGCTTCTCACCTCCAGGACGACGGCTGTGACACGCAGCAGCGTGGCAAGGCCTGTCCACCCATCTCCAGGCCTTTTTCCTTCCCCTCCTGGGTGCTCGGCTGGACCGCGTTTCCCCACCTCCCTTGCGGACGCGTGTGGCCACGTGCCTGGCATCGAGCCGGGAACAGGAGCACCCCAGGAAGGCCTCCCCTGCAGGCCCCTTCCTCTAGCCCCTCTGTAAGCCCAAGACCGATGCCCAGGGCGACCTGGAAGCTACACAGTGACGACGGCAGAGCTCTGTCAGCCGGGGTCCCCACAGGGCCGAGCTGAGCCAATACCCCATCTACTTTGTCCTTGTGACAGTCTAGAAGCACCTACTTTGTGCTGCTACACGAGTAATAGATACTCCCTTAGCGCGTGAAGGCACTAAGGTTGGGGTGGTGAGTACAGCATATGACAGCACACTAATATAAAGAGCAGGACTTAGAAGCTCGTAACATTGCTTTGAGAGCTAATGGAGAGTGATGATGATGATGGTATCACGAGAGCCACTTGTGCAACCCTCTGCCGCCAGGCGGGGCCTGTCTACCTGCGGGGACCCAGGCAGAGGAGACGTGGTGACCGCTGGCCTCACAGCTGAGCACCTCTGGGCTCGCAAAGACACAGTGGCTCGCACAGGCCGGCACCCCTGGCAAGTCCCCTGTTAGGACTCACCCCACATTCCTAGGAGGCCTGTCGAGCACGTGCGGGAACGGACCCTCTCACTCTCCCGTGAGAGGCCACGTCGAGATGCACCCGCACGGCCTCAGTGCCTTGGCCACTCCCAGCCCCAAAGGCCGCGTCTGTGTGGCCTGCAGCTGCTGGAGTCCACGTGGGGCGGGCGGGGCTGGAAGTCACGCACTCCAGGGCTGCCCTTGACCGAGGACGGGCCATGCAGGGCTACACAGGCTCCAG